TTTAGAGAAACTATGCATTTAGAGAAACTATGCATTTAGAGAAACTATGCATTTAGAGAAACTATGCATTTAGAGAAACTATGCATTTAGAGAATATGCATTTGGGGAGGTCTGACTGTAATCATGTCAAATCGGCACGATACAAAAATCTGACACATCCACAAGTTATTTATACAAGTCGACTTTTAAATCTTTCAAAACTCCCTAAACCAGGTAATAACATTTATTCATATTTTTTAAAAAAAGTTAGTAAAATGTTATTAATTGTAAAATTGCTGACTTTGTCAATATAGTAAATGCAGGTAATGATATGTTATTTCCTTAAATTGGGTTTAAACAGTAGTTTTGTATACTTATATGTATATATTTAGTAAGTCAACCCAGTCAATACATTAATTATGTGGAAGTTCCCGATGGTAAGTGATATTTTGATTTACTTTAGTTAAACAAATTTATTTCTTATTCTTATATTGATATTTAGATTATTAAATTGGTGCATTCTATTTATTATTACCATGCTACAATAATTCAGTAATTATTCTATATCTTCATGTTTGTACGTACCTAAAGAGAAAAATGATATAAATCAATTTCGCTGACAACCTGATTTATGGTTAGTGCTAGCTAGATTAGCGAAATGGTGATTGGAAAGTTCTGCTAAAGATGTTATATAATAAAAATTACTAAATTTAATATTGTATATAAAATTTATCAAATGAATATTGGAATAATAAATGTAGTCAACCCTTTTTATAATGAACTTTATAGTTCTGGAAGAAAAAAGGTCATTATAGAAAATTATGTTTTCTTAAGAAACCATAGAAACCATGGCTTTTTTATACTGAACCATTATAAAATTTTAAAATAGAGTCCTTTATAATCAGAGCTCGTTATAGAAAAGTTCAGAGTTGACTGTCTTAATATTGTTATTTTAAATGGTATACGGGTATACTGTATTTATAAATATTTTTAAAAGAAAAACTATAGAATTAAAATCTAGATATTAAAGCTCCGGACCTCATCAGTTCCTATTTCCTAGTGATAATCAATGTCACCAGGTTAGGATGCCTAATGAATATAGTGGATGCTTTAGCGAGAACCAAAAATTCTTTTTTGGTTTAGCATTGATCGTATTTGATTCAGATTTTGAGGCCAAACTTAAGTAGTCGTTCTATAATGTAATATTTTTTTTTTTTTTAAAAAAAAAAAATAGAATTCCATTTATGTCTCGCACTGTATTTGAAAATTATAAAGATTTTACATGGTCCGTTAAATACAACTTTTGAAATTGCGAAAGATCGTTATTAAGCCAGAGAAATAAATATTCAGTTTACGAAATCTTGGAACATTGACATTACTTGAAAAAGTCAATTCAACCAGTAAGTAATATGATAACCGTACCAAAAATTATTATTTTAGTATAATTGATTATATTACATTATAATTCTATTATAATTCTATATCTAATATTTTTCTAAACTCGTACAGGGATACTTTGAGGAAAGTTGAATAAATTATTGGGATCATATTTTCTTTTTATATCCACTAATCTATCAAAAATATCACCGTAATACCTTTTTTGCCAATGATCTAAATCTCTATCAATGAAATCTTGATAACTCTCATAAGACGTAAAGTTTGATTGAAAACTTATTCCGAAATCATTTATTTCATTAACACATTTAGTACCTTGTTCTACACTTGTCCAATCAGATTCCATTTGTACACAATAAAGTGCATCACGATGTATAAAGGAAGAAGAGTTATTATGAATATTTATAGCTCCACCATATAAATCGAATGAAGCAAGAATTTGGCAAGAAGCTCCATTTACAAAATTTACTAACACATCTATGGCTTGATGAGTTAATCCTTCACCTGTATTAACAAAAAAGGATTTTGCTTTAAAGAAATTTGGATGATGAACCGGATTCACAACTTCATATTTATTAGGTGATTTAGAAAGTATTTCAACAGACTCAAAAAATGTTTGTTGATCAAATTCTGATGAAATCGGGTTTGGTGCTTTAGATAAAAATTCTTTCATTGCATTTTGTGCTTCGTTACTCGGGCCTAAATATAATCCAGTAATTGATAATGATCCTTTCACCAACCTCATTTTAAGAGCAATACCATCGTCAAATGATGGTCCATCTTCATTAAAAGCATCAAAAAGTTGATACACTTGAATCATATTTGTACCATTAAATTCCAAGTTCATATAAGTAACTTGTGGTGGTGTTTGATGAATACGAAATACAAAATATGTTACTATGCCGTAACTTCCTCCACCTGCACCTCTTAGAGCAAAGAATAGATCGGAATTTAAAGTAGAATTAACTTGTAAAAGGTTTCCTTTGGCGTCAACCATTTCCATAGAAATAATATTATCACAAGCTAAACCATGCTTACGACTGTAATATCCAAACCCCTATAAAAAAGAATATGTTATTGGAAATTACTAAAAAGCATGATTTTAAATAATGATAATACGTTACCCCTCCGAGAACGTGACCTCCAAGGCCAACAGAAGGACATATTCCGAACGGAATAAAGAAACCGGCCTGATTCAATTGATTATAAACGTTACCCAACCTATTTCCAGCACCAATTTTAGCAGTTTTCGTTTTTGAATCAATTGTAATACCATTGACATATGTCAAATCCAACACGATAACATTATCTCTACCGCCTAAGCCATATTTTTCGTATGAATGACCACCTGAACGTGGAACTATATCCGTTTTCAATTCAACAGCACATTTAACAGCTTTTTGTACATCTTTGGTATCAATTGCGTAAACTAGCACTGATGGTGTATAATTTACACGAATGTTTTGATCAATAATTAATGATTGAAAGAGTGTATCATTTGGATAGATTACTGGACCTTCTATTGAATCAAGACACGATAAAAGAGGTGAAATAGGGCTGGAATTTATATTTTTTATAAAATTAAATGATAAAATGCACCAAAAAAGAAGGAAAACTATTTCAAATTTCTTTATTAATTTCATTTTGAATATTGCTTTAGCTGTAAAGGTAAAGTTGCTTAAAAATTTGAAAGGTATAAAATCAACAAGATATATATACGTATGCTGCCAAAGGGAAAATTCTGATATCGAGCTTTCAATTACAGTCAATCCCCTAGATGCAACCTCAAGATCTGGCCCAAATACATTTAAGACATCTACAAAGCAATTTTCCTTATTATTCTTTAAATGCACATAATCAAAAATTTGACCCCAACGAGTTGCATTTCGGGAGGTCTGTATACCGATGTTACCATTTAAAGATTTATTTAGTATGAATACGTACTAATGCATATACAAGTCACTCTCGTTATAGTGAAGTGCGGGCTGTGAAATTTTCGAGAGCCTATTAGTAAATTTTGAGTAAATTCACTATATCGAGAGGGTTTTTATATAAACTGTTCTTCACTATACTTATATCGAGAGTAACTTGTATGTATATCCGATAGCATGTATTTAAGGAAGGCCTAAAGACCTTCATGTAAAGTAGAAGTTGTATGCCTTTTTGAACACTTCTCATAATAAAGATAAATCTCATAAAATCGTCCTTATAAATAAATTGTCTATCTAAATATTCTTTCATGATGCTCTCCAAACTAAGTTAACACCGGAACAATTAATTTGTTAACAAATATACAATCAGACAACTCGCCGGGACCAAACTTTTGATAACATGC